TTTTGTATCTTCTCCTTCTATTTCCTTCCAAATGTAACTACTGGCTTCCAGGCCACTCCCCTTGGCCTAGGGCAACTCTGATGGCTCAGGTGGGGTAGTTCCCACCCACACTTCTTGGCTTAACATGCATCTGGAGAAATCATGCCAACTTTCCACTAAACCCTAAACAGCTGGGGGATATGCCCTTCAAACGACTGGGGAAACTCCTGAACACACTCCAAGGCCCTACAAGTGATTGGGAGAACTCCTGCCCACTGTTTGTGTTACTCCACACTACTGCGGGAACATCCACCCAAACTCCACAGTGATCTCTCCAACTATGGTAATTCCACCTGCCAACCATGGTGCTCTACATCAAGGAGGGTATACCCAACCACCCTCCGTGGCATTCAAGTTTCAGAGGGAAACACCACACGCCATCTGAGGCGTTCAAAGCCCCATAAGGCACACCACTATGGCTCCTTGGGAGATCAGCCAGTGAAACACTATCCTCATGGGCCCACAACCAACTAACCAGTGCCCCCATGAGAGGTCTATGCAAATTCCAAATAATGGAATAATGATTGGCTAGGGTAAGAGTGAAATATACAGTGGTAGCCTGACCCCCCAGTGCAGCTAACCTGAAGGTAGTTCAAAGAAGCACTAATACGAGTCTCCTAAGAGAGAGCCCAGTGGTATTCAACTCTGGAAGATAGTTCTGGGCTCCTTTAAAACAACACGAAACAGCCTCGATGAAAGAGCAGGGGAAACAGAAGACAATACCGGAAGAAGTCATGAACCTAATGACGTACATAGAAGCACACATTGACCTGCCACAGAAAGAGATCTTCAGAATGCTGCTTGGAGTCATACAGGATATGAGGGAAGCAATACAGAAAAAGGGTGAAATGATAGAGAAGATAAAGGCAACACACCAAAGGGAAATACAAGACTTAAGGGATGAAATCACAAAGTCCAGTAGCAAATTAACAGGATTCACCAACAGACTTGAGGAGGCAAAGAATTTCACTGGTGACATAGAGGATAACCAGGCAAACACCCACAAACAGAGAAGCTGAAGAAAACCTGAGAGCCATGTCTGATACTATGAAGAGGAACAATATTAGAATAATTGGACTACTGGAACAAGGCACAACAAAGAATTCAACAATAAAAACAGTGAGAGAATTCTTAGAGGAGAGCTTCCCCAGCTTAATAAATGAAAATCAGCCAACAATTCAGGAGGCTGAAAGAACACCAGCCAGACTGAAACCCAAGAAGAAGTCACCAAGACATATAATAGTTAAATTATCCACCTATTAGGAAAAGGAGAAAATCATAAGAGCAGCTAGGGAAAAACAAGTACTCACTTATAAAAGTACCCAAATAAGAATATGTTCAGACTTATCAGCAGACATGATGAAGAAGAGGAGGTAGTGGAGTAACATATTCAAAAAATTGAAGGAAAATAACGCAAACCCAAGAATACTACATCCAGCCAAATTATCTATTAAGATAGATGGAGAAGTAAGAGTCTTCCCAGAAAACTAAAAAAGCAAAGAATATGTAAAAAGAAACCCAGCCCTACAAAAGATCATTGCCAACCCAGTATGGGCAAACCTGACCAAAGAAAGGAAGGAACAAATTTCAGTAGCAAGGATGAGGGATGAAACAGGGGACAGTACAACAGACCCTAATGAAATCAAAAGGATAATTACCCAGTACTTCGAAAACCTGTACTCTAACGAATTCAACAACTTGGAAGACACTGACAAATTCTTGGAAAAACAATCTGTCCCTAGACTATCCCAGATGGACATCAAGAACCTCAGCAGACCCATGGCAATACAAGAAATAGACAAAGATATCAAGGGATTACCAACCAAAAAAAATCCCTCGGGGACAGATGGCTTCATAGGAGAATTGTACCTAGCATCTAAACAAACACTTCCAGAACATAGAAAAAGACAGAAAACTCCCAAACTCTATGAACCTAGTATAACTCTGATACCTAAAGCGGGCAAGGAGTCCCACAAGAATTGAGAAATACAGACCAATATCCCTAATGAATATCAATGCAAAAACCCTTAA